AAGAGCCGGCCCAGCCTTAAACCGTGACAGTATTGTATAAACATTTTTAGTCATGTGATATGAGGGCTATCCATTCTGTATGAAGATTCAATTCTTTTTAACACAGTTACTGTTCTGAACAAAGCAATGCCATTTTTTTATGTTGCAATCTTCTCCTGTTCTTGATATGCCTAACTACATAAACCCACTCCCTCCTTCAGCTGTATGGAATTATATCTGTCACAATTCTTATACTGCGTCACGGAAGAGAATAAATTCCAAAGAATGAGCTAAAAAATCCAGAAGCTTATTACAAAGATTACCGTGTTTAACCAGTCGTGCTACTCTCCACCCAGATTAGCTGCACTTCACATGTATGCCAATTTGAATAACTGAAAAAAGTTTAACTATCACTTGCTTTATCAATGTGCAAATGATGACATATGATAGTAAAACAAAACCACACCTTTCTGTCACAGCAGTTTACAACTGCACAATGCAATCTCTTTTGTTTTATAACTAATGGAAGTACCAGAATGGGGTAACATTGTAGCAAAACAGGAATAAATAAGCATTTGCAAGAAAGTCTATAGCAATATTCACTGTATAGCTAGTTACACAAGGAATAACAAATGAAATAATCTCAACTGAATTGTAATATATAGGTTATTTTTAGCACCATCTACAAAATCTTAACAGGAAAAATCAAGGTAACGTTCTTTGATAAATAAATGCAATAAATTTGAAATGTAAGAAACACACTTTAAGAAATACTTGGTTCACGTGATAGGTAATTGAATTGGAATGCATCTCAAGGACAGTCGTGGAAAGAGATGAATCAGAGGGATGAACAACCACCACTATGAAATAGTTTTCACAGAGGGCTACCCTCCAAATGTCTGAGACTTCTTCAGACACATCTTCAACGCTACAACATGATCAAGCACGATGCAAAGAGTATTTGCCTAGAAGTGCCAGACACTTTGCAACTGAGTAAGTGCACTGAAATACTGGTCTGACCAAGCAGTGCAGACCCAGATAAAACTAGTGTACATGTGCACACCAACTCTGCAGTGAATTAACAGTATACCAATGCTTTCAAAAAAGAAGTCCTACTGAACACAGTGTGTATTCAATCTACCAACTCACAGCAAACCTAGCCAAAAATTCAGCATCTCTTGTTACACACTAGCACATGCTAAGACAACTACTGCCTACAGAACAGTGCTTACAAGATCTCTTTAGGTTAGTCTCTGAGCTAGCCAGGAAAAGACAGCGTCTTCGTGATAAGCCACGGTGTCTTCTGGACTTTGACCATGCCCAGACTCCAGTTTTACTTCACTGGTCAACTGAAGTATTATTATGAGCCCTTCCAAGAGGTCTTGCTCTGTTGAGGCTTCAATTTTTATTCTTTTTTTTTAAAGTACTGTCAATTTTCCCATGAGGAACATAACAATTGGAATTTGCAAGTACAAGGATTAACGCTAAGGCTCTAGAAGCAAACTATAAATTTGGTTCAAGATCACTGTAGACAGTAAATTTCCAGTGCCATTTCAAAGCTCCAAACTTTCAAAAAATCTCCACTTGCCTGCTCTACCAATGACCTTGTATGATGCACCCCAGTTCTTGTTTTAGAAAGAAATAACTGCTTAGTTCATCTTTTCAGTGCTACTTATTACTTTACTGTCAAGTCCACTTAATCATCTCATTTCCAGAAGGAAGAGTCCTAGTATATTAAATGCTCCTTTTACACAAGCTGGTTCATACCTCTGACGATCCAACTCAACTTACTTTGTACCCTTCCTAGTTACACCATATCCTTTGGGATCTAAACTGCACTCAAGCGTACAAAATGCTAACTAAACAGTTGATGTGACGTATAGAACAACACAATGAGGATTCTGCTCTTTGGTTTTGTTCTCTATTCTTTCTTAATATTTGATTCTCCTATTGTGTCTCTGCTAAGCTATCTGATTAAAGGCTAATCTCAGTAAATGCAAAGGTCCAGCAAGATCAGAGGAGGAAGAAATCTTCCGACCTAATCAGTGAAAAGCGAGCAGCCTCACTTAGCTGCTCCCACAGACTGTGAAAGGAGAACGGATAAATCATCACCCCTGGGTGAAACCCTCCAAGAGGATTTGGCAGGGATATTTTCACCCTGAAAACCCATGCTAACTAAAGTGGGCTACTAACTACTGGCATAGAGGGGCTCTTATGAGATGCAGGGCAAGAAAATTCTGGGATTGTGTAAAACTTATATGGAGGTTTTCTGGGGAATGTAGGGGTGTGCCCAATTTACTAAGGGATGGCTATGGAAGGACCAATGGTGAGAAAGATCAAAGCAGACTGGGGAGAAACAAGCAAGGGAAAACAGAGGGAGAAAAAAGGGGATAAAAGCTGCTACTAGAATGAGATGTACAGTAAGAAATGCTTATGCATCTAACTACCTCCTTAAAAATAAAAAATAAACAAAACCCAAAACCCAACTTAATCTCCCAAGCAGGAGATTAAGTGTTTTTAGACTTGTTCCTCACTTAAATTTTACAATCTCACTGCTGGCAGCAACTACTAAAACATACTGGTTTACAACAGAGGTTGTACGTCATCATAAATTTTGCTCTTCGATGTGGACAGAGTGAGTTTACTTTGTATGTTTTGTATGTACTCACATTCAGGGAACTGTAGTTTTCAAGCTTAGTCAGCTTCTTTGAAAAACATTTTCAATTAAACTAATGAAATATCATGGAAAAAACCTGAAAACTCTTTAGTCCAACCAAATACGGACACAGTTTGCACAGACACTGAAAAAAATGTGTACCTACTAATATTTTCCTTCATTCCAAATATCTAATAAATAAACAATGAAGTGGGTGACTGGAAACACTTATTAGGCTTGAATTGATGTCAATTATTAGTTTTTACTTTGATTCTGTCTATCATTTAAAAAGCAGGACTACAGCTCATTGAAATGTGAGAATTTTATTGATGCAGTGCTTTATTTATGCATTTTTCTAAGTTATAGGAACATCAGGCCCCAGTTTTCAAAAGCTTGCCTTCAATTTTAAATTGAGTTTTGAAGTAAAAAGATCAGATTTAATTTGCAGTGAACAAACACACCAAACAAAATTATCTTGCTAGCACATGCATTACAATGAAAATACAAATGCAAAAAACCAATGTACTTTTTCATTTTCTTAAATAGGAACAGAAAAGAAAGTAATTACCATAATACTTAAATTTGGACAGAAAGATTTTTAATCATAGTTAAGAAATAAAGCTAGTAACTTTAAAATGTAGCAAGAAACAACACTTTGCGAATACTTACCATACTTCTCCTGATGTAGTCTATAGCTTTTTTCATATCCATGCCTGACCAGTTATCAAGCATGTAGCAGATGCAGGAAGCACAGTACACAAACCTCATATCATTCTCGCTTCCTTCCAGCACTGCACAGAAACTGAAAGAAACATTTCTGTCATTATACACTGTATAGCCTGTTATATCAGAAAACATGAAAAGCAGTTCAAGGAATTGCGTAATTTTTCCTTTAAAAATTAGTTACTTCTGTTTACCGTATTCCCGAAAATATAACCCAAAGCTATGCTACATTTTCTTTTTAGAAGACGTGATTCTAACTAAGCCAAGCAAAATTAATAGCACTATTAACATTTAGGGGCTTGGGTGACTTTACTTCCAGCAATGTAATGACACTGGTCTTTATTTATTCAAAGACGTTAATGCTTACAGTCTTTCACCTATCACAGTATATACTTACGATGAGTTACCATTTTAACATTTACTGTTTTGGGCAGAATTCTTTGAGCTCCTAGAAAACTTAAGAGCTCAAAAGAGTTTCTTTCCTAACTGCAACTTCAGGATCAGTTTGCCATGTATGTATAAATGTTATTACTACCATTTCTAATACAAATGGTAAAAATTACCTTCAATCCAGTTTTTGATTTCTTATTGCAATGATCTTTCCAAACTCTTTTGTACATTTTAAAGTTTTTGTATCTGGGTTATCTAGGTACAATCCTGTGCTCTCTTGAGACCCTTAAAATGAAGACAGATGCTGTGATTTGGATGCTTGTATCAGAAACAGTGTGGTCAGCAGCACTAGGGAAGTGATCGTTCCCCTGTACTCAGCACTGGTGAGGCTGCACCTCCAATATTGTGTCAATTTTGGGCCCCTCACTACAAGAAAGACATTGAGGTGTTGGAGCATGTTCAAAGAAGGGCAACAAAGCTGGCGAGGGGTCTAGAGCACAAGTCTTATCAGGAGTGGCTGAGGGAGCTGGGGTTATTTAGTCTGGAGAAGAGGCCGAGGGGAGACATGATTGCTTGCTACAACTACCAGAGAGGAGGTTGCAGCAACTCTGGTGCCAGTCTCTTCTACCAAGTAACAAGCGATAGGACAAGAGGAAATCTCCTCGTGTCAGAGGAGGTTTACATTGGATATAAGGAAAAAATTCTTCACCAAAATGGTTGTCAAGCATTGGAACAGGCTGCCCAGGGAAGTGGTTGAGTCATCATCCCTGAAGGTATTTAAGACATGTACATGTGGCACTTAGGGACATGGTTTAGTGGTGGACTTGGCAGTGTTACGTTAAGGCTGGACTCAATGATCTTAAAGGTTCTCCCCAACCCAAATGATTCCATGATAGACAGAGATGGGTAATAATTTTAATTACCTGTGACAATACCTAAGCCTTTAACTGTTTGTTCTATGATTTGCCACCTGACAAGCCTCCATTTGGTTCAAAGATCTAGTTAGTATATTTTGATGACTTAATCATTTGCAAGCAGCCAGCAGAACAGAGCATTTTGATGAGTCCTCCTGGCAAACCTCTTCTAAAAAAAAAAAAGGAAAAAAAAAAAGGGCGGGGGGGTGTGGAGGGAAACGTACTTCTGACATTAATGACAGTCTTTTAAGCAAGACTATCACCACTATGACACTCCCTCTTTGACCCTGCAATTCAAGTATGTAGCCCATTATCTTCTTGCATAGAAAAGTCTCTAACTTACTGGGAGATACTTTCATCTCTCCTAACCCCAATGGTGCCAGGCCCTGCTCTCTGCAGCTCAGACAGGGATGAACTCCATTGCTCTCTGGATATGGCACAGGACATTCTGGGAAACCAGGACGCTTCTTAATATGTGCCAGTACTGTGGTTTACAATCTCACTCCATCCTCAGGTGACAATTGCACTGCATGTTATCCAGATACTTCAAATCACATTCAGCTAAGGTAAGGCAGAAATTAAAATACACACACTTACTCATAATGTAAAAAGAGACAATGTAATTTCAAATTTTTTTTCTTAAAGTTTTTGTTTCTCCACACCTTTCTTTCATTAACTAAGACTAGCATACTTGTACTAGGATAACAC